TGTTTCAAGTGCTGAGATCAAAGAAATTTTTAGCAAGTGGAGTGAAGTGCAGGTTTTCATTGAGAAACGTTACCCTAAAAAAGCGGTGACCAGCCCAGCTGTGGGCATTTTAAATGACAATGTGATATCCCATTTTCGGAAAATTATACAACAAAGAAAAAGACAAATGTCTCTGGATTGTTATTTTGTGAAAACACCTGCCACCGAGCCAACAATCGAACCACTTCCCAGGATACAAACACGAGAAAAAACACAAGAAGTGCCTACTCAGTTGCCCGATGTTATCATGGAATGGGGCTCGGCTTCGAAGGAGTAGTCTTCCTTCTCCTCCTCTACCATCTACCTGTGTCAGTAACTATCAACCGCAAAGGTAAAGTTACAGTACTGTATGTTTTATATTTTTGCCACATAAATCCATAAAAAAATATGTTTCTGGGGCGCGCGAACGGATTAATTGTAATTACATTAATTTCGATGGGAAAAACTGTTTCGACTAACGAACGGAGTCAAAGAACGAATTAAGTTCGTGACTCGAGGTACCACTGTATAGTATATACATCTACCACATCCTGTTCTTCTACGGTAAATTCAAGGCCATACCTTTCGAGGCATTTCTAAATCAGGTCTACGGATTAATCATTTTATCTGCTTCTAACTTTACCATAATCAGAGAAGCTTAACAAAGATTACATAACAGTTCATCTTCAACCTTGCAACAGTCTATGAAAACAACTTTACATAAACGGCACTGAAGACCTGTTCTGTTCAAGGAAATATTCGAACGTGACTACCTGTTTATGATGGGGCCCTGATTTAGCTGCTTATTTGGAGCGGCTGTGGTGTTCTAAGAAATTCGGCTGCAGAAGTCCTTCACATATGATGGGCATGATTTAATTCGGAGGAATATTCCGGAAAAAATCGACTTTCCATTTGAGTCGCAAAAGCGCAGAGACCTCCTTGAGAGTTAAGTATGATATAGTTGAGCACCTGCAACTTCTCATATGTCAAATTTAGCGACATGTGGTCCAATACTCAAATGGTTAGTGTCCAATTAGACAGGAAACCACTTGGTGGAATGGGCTTCCATTATCCACGTAATCAAAGGCATCACCTAGGATATATCTTTCCAGCTTAATCACCGCTTAATTAAATTGGAGAACAATATTCTGTATCAGAGAAGGTGAGGGAATTTCACAATGCAAAAGGCATTCATTTCTGTAACCCAAGTAATGTCGGTGAATAACAGCACTGCGCTACCTTTGTATTCTATTCATATTTCATTTTATAACCATGTTCCTTGAAGGTGTATGAGGTGGAGAGAAAAAACATTTCACAGGCCACTCGTGCTTCCTGAAGAATGTTACATTAGACGGTTTCTTCTTTTGTGTTGCTGTGGCACAATATCGATATGGCATTTGATTATAAATATAATTTTTACCACCTTTCCCGATGGCGACGTCAGAGTTCAGAAACCTGTTCATCAGGCGGAAACAATGGTAGTTTTCTGGATGTAGCGCCAGCTCTATTGCATCCCAAACAAAGACGATTCTAAGACTGATCTTTACGGCAACTTACCACTACATCGCTTGGTGCAGACCTCGTCGATGAAGAAGCCCTGGGGTATTTTAAAATTTTAAACATCCTCGTTTAGGAAGCAGAGAACGATGCCATAGTATTCTAGCTAACTTCAACATATAATCACCCCCAGTGTCTCGTTAGTAAACACGAACGTCTGCGATGTCTGTTGTGAGATTCTTGTCGAATAAGACGTCGATATTAGTTGCCAACAAGAGTATTTTAAAGACAGAAAGATCTATTGACCAGCTATCACTACTACATTAAGCGAGAGTATAATGGCTCATGAAGAATTATTATACAAGCCAAGAAATGTGACCTTCATGACTACCAGGGAACCTAAGAAGAATGCACTGAGGAACAATCCGTAGTGGAACGCAACTAATTTCTTTGCTTTATCACGCAATCAAATGAAAAGGCCATATGACTTAGCTCCTTCCAATACATTAGCATAGGCCTATACCGGTGTCCTTCCGAAATTAGCAACAAGCATCTAACCAAAGTGTCTTTAGCCAGAACCAAAACAATTTAAATGAGCAATAGAACTAACAGAGAAAAAGGACCACAAATTTTTCAACACAGCAGACAATTCATACAGTAGTACAAATTACCCACCTTTATATGCGGCGGATCTGTATGGATCTACCTTTCGAGAAAAAACATGAGCACATGGTAAAAGTTTACTGCAAACAAAAATCAAAAAAGTTAAAGGACAAAAGAACATTCTGTGGAAATTTGCAAGTTTAGCCTTGCATCATAAAAATACTGCTGAAGCGGGTACGAGCCATGGGTCTTCCTACATATGAACAAAGTACTTCAGAAGAATAGGGCCACACCCATTTCCGGGTTTTAGGGATAAGTTTCGATCACCTCGCCGATGCCCTTTGTCCTTCCTTCATGGAATAGCAGACGGCTTCCAGTCGTTATGTATTCCGGCTGTCGAAGGAACATGCAACTGATAACGGCCCTTTCGCCGACCTTCAAAAGCCGGTTCTTGGTGTGTATGCGAGTGACGATCACCGTTTGGCATACGTTGCATACATGAACGGTCGCCTGGAATTTTTCACCAATGTACTTCGATGTGTGGAACAATACGTACACCTCGGCGGTGAACATCTGAGACGCAACGGGGCAGACTGAGGGGCTAAGCAGAACCATTCCCTATAACAGTGAATGAAAAATTAAAACAGCCCAATTCAAGCAAAGCATTCAATATAAAAAAAAACATAATTTCAATATAACTTATTCTCCGATGGGAAATACACAGCAGCAATAAATAAAGAAAGAAAATACGAGACACTAAATATTCAGTGTATAGAAATACAAAAATTAACTCTGCTTTAAACAATGGCGAAAGTTACTATGTGGAAAGCTAAACCATTGTTCAGAAGGGCATGAAAAAAATCAACATCAGGTTTGTAAATCTCAGCCGATGCACCGTACACAGCACACCTTCCAAGATTAAAACTTTATCATGGCAACTGTAGGATATTTGGCAGCTCAATTACAGGTTATGATATTTTGATACTGTAAGATATATTTTCAATCATCACCGTGGGTATTTACAAGCATGGGTCGCACAGAAGGAATATTGTGCGCAATTCTAAACACGGTTTGAGGAGGTATTCCAGACAAAAATGTAGAAACGATCATCCGCTGCGCAACAAACTAACGAAAAATTCCATTTGAGTGAAGAACAATAACATCCTATGAACTGTACAGGCCTTCCATTGAAATGTCGACCTTCCACTAGACTTCTAGAGCCTGTCTGTTTAAGAACTAAATAGTGAGAAACCTGAATAAACTAGAGCAAATAAACAGAAGCTACGTAAATCCAGCATGTAAACGATTAGAAAGGGGTCGAAAATCTGCACCCAAAATAATAGCAGCTCATACGACGAACGAAATTTGATCTAAGTGTACATAATTTCACTAATCAACTGAAAGATAATTTTTTTACTCAACGCTGAAGCTTGAGCAGCATCAGTACATCGCTCTGAACTGAATGGCTCCCTGCAGCTAAAAACGACATTTTCGCAGGGTTACACCACACTTTGAGTTTGTTAAGGAACTGAATAATTAAGTTAGAGAAGAGCCGAGGCGAAATGCGGTCGGTCACAAGGGGCACTCACATCATACAGCAAGCCCCCCCCGTTTCGTCTGGCCTGTTATGACCGCACCCTATCAAATCATGCCGTCGCTGGTGTTCGCAAGTGAGCGATTTGTACCCGCTTCTAGGTTGTCTACACTGAAGCAACGAATGGTAAATTAGCTGCACAAGGGAATTCGCGGTTAAGACAAAGACAACCGGCAAC